CCACCCACCTCGGTCTCCCAGTTTGCTGGAATTACAGGCATAAGCCACCATACCCGGCATTATTATTATTATTATTATTATTTTGCAGTTTTTGGCCAGGGCCAGGTTTGAACTCACCACCTCCGATACATGGGGCCAGTGGCCCTACTCCTTTGAGCCACAGGCGCCGCCCTATTATTCTTATTTTTTATTTTAGAGATAGGGTCTTACAGCTTACTGCATCCTCAAACTCCTTGTGCAAATCATCCTTCCACCTTGACCTTCTGAGTAGCTAAGACTACAGGTTTGTGGCACCCACCATACCTGGCTACTTTTAAAGAAAATTTCTTCTAGAGATAAGATCTCACTATGTTGTCCAGTCCAGTCTTGAACTCCTAGACTCAAGCGACCATGCTTCCTTAGCCTCTCACAGTGCTGAGATTATATCATGAGCCACATGCCAAGCCAAGCCATCTTATTAGCATTAGGTGGTCAGTAGAGAAATGATCACATTATAATGAGGTTCAGAGAATTGACTCTTGTAACCCTCAGTGACAGACTATCTTCATTCATTAAAAAAGAAATAGGCTGGGTAAATGCAGTGGCTCACACCTATAATCTTAGTACTTTGGGAGGCTAAAGCAAGAGAATTGTTTGAGGTCAGGAGATTGAGACCCATCTGAGCAAGAGTGAAACCCATTTCTACTACAAATAGAAAAAATTAGCCAAGCATGGTGGTGCACGCCTGTATTCCCAGCTACTGGGAAGGCTGTGGCAGGAGGATGGCTTGAGTCAACGAGTTTGAAATTGCAATAAGCTGTGATGATGCCACCGCACCCTAGCCTGGGTAACAGAGCGAGACTCTCCCTCAGGAAAAAAAGGAAGAAGTAGATCTATAAATACAGAGAGAGAGAATCTACTTTCTTTCTTTCTTTAAGAGACAGAGTTTCACTTTATTGTCCCCAGTAGAATGCTGTAGTGTCACAGCTCACAGCAACCTCCAACTCCTGGGCTTAGGCAGTTCTCTTGCTTCAGCCTCCCAAGTACCTGGGACTACAGGCCCCCACCACAAGGCCTGGCTATTTTTTGTTGCAGTTTGGCTGGGGTGGGATCAAACCTGCAACACTTGGTATATGGGGTCAGCACCCTACCCACTGAGCCACAGGCGCCTCCCTTAAAGTAATCAACATTTATTTTATTTTATTTTTAGGGACGGAGTCTCCTTTTGTCGTCCTTAGTACAGTGCTGTGCCATCACAGCTCACAGCAACCTCTAACTCTTGGGCTTAAGCAATTCTCTTGCCTGAGCCTCCCAAGTACCTGGGACTACAGGCACCGGCCACAACGCTGGGCTATTTTTTTGTTGTTGTTGTTGCAGTTTGGCCAGGGCCAGGTTCAAACCTGCGACCCTTCGTATGTGGGGCCAGCGCCTTATTCACTGAGCCACAAGCGCCACCCGAGAATCTATTTTCTTACATATTGACCATTTTAGGAATTACCTCTGGCTCTGTAAAACTAGCATAGTTTTGTTTTTTTTTTAATTATCTCAATTATTAAAAATCATTCTATAAACCTTGGGTTCTCTTCACTTATCTCCCAGTGCCTAGATGACTTTCTTTTTTGAGCAAATACTGATTTTTACCATTTATGCATTCTGGTGAGTCTGAATCTTTTCTACAAAGTGTTCCCTTTTTATGCATCTTTGTTTTCCTGTTCTAAGATCCTTACTGAAGGCATCCAACCTCCTCTTGACAGTCTTCTTAATGTGTGTATCCATCTCCCGTCATTTATTGTTTAGCTCTATAAAATGCTTATGCTTCATCCTGAAGAATAGATGGAGGAAATAGACACTGAGCACCATTCCCAGACACACGATCCGCTTGTCAAGCGATATAGTTACCAATGAGCTATGAGTTAAATTCCAACATTGTTACTCAACACTCAAGATTTAACTTTTTGTCTCAGTCTGTTTATACTACAGAAATGTGTTCCTTTTTGTTTTTCCATCAGTTGACCTCGCTGATAATTAGAGATTTATTTCAGGGGTCGGAAAGAAATAAGCAATGGCATTCTTTATATGTAACAATTGATGAAGCAGACTGGGAATGAAGGGGAAATTTTTCCAAAAAAGATGTTATTTTGTCTTAAATAAGGAGACATAGATCATTCTTAGTGTTGTTAAATATTTAAAGTTTTTTCTTCAGATTAGTATGAAGGTATGGATGATTAGGTTACATTATTTGTGTTTGTTAAGTGAGTCCAAGTTGCAGATGTACCCTCACTTTGTGACTATTAGGTGACAGCACAATATTTAGATTTCTTTTTTTTAGGGTAGTCAACAATATTTAAACTTTTTTAAAAAAAAGAACAATTTAAAGTGAAACAATTTTAAAGCAAGAATGATAGAAATGACAAGAGATAAGAGATTGAGGGAATGATTTAAAAATAATTGTGGGTATGTAAGAAAGAGATCCTTCTTCCTCCCATTGTGATTTCCCTTTGGTGAAAATGGTGAAACAAAGGCCAGCAAATTGGGAAGGAAGCAGGAAATTCTAGTTACTGGCTGTCAGTTGTATATTTAAGAGCAGTGAAAATGCTTACCTCTGTTAGATTTTAGTACTTTTTCTCACCAATTTATTTTGTTTTTCTTTTAGAAAGTCATGATTTTTCATTTCTATTTCCCAGTAAAGGTACCATTAAATACAATTTGGAAGCTTTATATTGTGATGTGATTGTGAAAAGCCAAGTTAAATTTTGAATTTTGTGGTTTGAGGGAAACCATTCCAGAATTTATTTACTCACTTCCTATACCGGGGCTGCCCCACTTCTCAGCCAGTATACCCTTTCCTGCCTCTAAATCAGTAGAAAAATGAGAAGAGTTAGCCCCAAATAACAGAATTAAGATAAAAGCAAGGAATCCTGCCTAGTCCTTGTGTTATGCTTACTCTAGCCCTTGTAGTTTACTTCCTGGTTGAAAATATGTTAGGGAACCTTGTTGAAATAAAATTCGCATTTTGTAATTATATTAGAAAAGCAGATTCTGAGACTAGGAAGTGAAATTACCTCTAGCAAAGCAGTTAAGAATTTTTCCAGAGATGAATTGCTTTCCAGGCTTGTTCTGAGCTTTCATCCATATGTCCTTGGTCTTTGCATGTATTTACTTTTGTTTACTTGCATATATATTTTTGCACTGTATTGTAGTTCCAGAGAGTGCTAAAAAAGTCATTATGTATTTAAAACAAACAAAGCAGAAAACCCCCTTGTCCTGAGGCTGTGTGAAGAAGAATGAAGCTCTCATTTCCCAATACCCAGTTATCAGCTTGAGCTGGCCTCTCCTAGGAACAGAATTTATTGAAGCAATTTATCCTGGCTAAATGTGATATAAATCTGTGTACATATATGTACATACAGGCTCTCTTCCTTTACAGCAGTGCTGCAGCATCAGTTTCTTTCATAGTTAGACTGTGTTCCTATCACACTGAAAGATGACCAAGAAGCCCCTTCTATTTTGTGGGGCTCCTCACATTTTTAAACACCAATTTTGTGAAATTATTGATTAGACAACCAGAAATACTAGTTTTCCAACCCCAGTGTGAGCCTTAAGAGAGTAAGAGAGATGTTACCTAGCTACCCTCTGAGTTTTAATCATGGTTTTCCAATAACCAGATTCAGTCTAGCATGTTAACATTTTATTTTTAAGTAGGCCTGACTGAGATTGTCCTGACATTTTGGGTTATCTTCAAGATAAAAATTTCTAGAGTCAGTTCTGGAGTCGTTTCCAGACATACTCAAATCATAGTTCCTCTCTCATCTTTCCTTGTTCATATTCTTTTTATACTTTTTGGAAGGATGTTTGAAAATGTCCTTTAGGTGTTTATTCTGTAAGGCTGTTTTTACTCCCCTCCCCATTTCTCTCTTCCACCCTTCCAAAATATTGTTTATCTTTTAGCAATATTTTGACTATGATTTGCATTTCTAATCCTTCTCCTCTCCACCTTTATTTTCATTCCTAGTTAGAATATGAGAAATTTCCTCCACACGTTGAGGTTGGGATTATTTTTCCTTGACAAAGAATTTCAGTCCTCATTTTGAGAATTTAGCTTCAATAATTAAAAAAAAAAAACAGTATAAACCCTGCTGAAGTCTTCAGAGAAATAGACGGGATGGACGGTAATGCCTTTTAGTGCCATTTCTTTTATCCCCTGCAGCAGCACACATCTGTTGGCTGCAACAGAGCAGCCCAAGAACTCTGGCCGAGAGCAGCACAAACAGCCGGAACATATTCACCCAGTAAACCCCCAAAGAGTCGACATTTGTTTTATTGCAGCTTTTAAAAACCTAGCCATAAATAGAATCAGAAGGGGGAAGGGCACCGATATTTCTCCATTTGCCATAGACTGTTGGTGGGGGGAGAAGGAAGCTCCCAGTGGGGAAAAAAGGTTTTTATTTTTATTTTTTTATTAATGAAAATCATTTCCCGTGTAGCCCAATAGGATGGGTGCTTTGTTTTCTTTGGCAATAATCTGGGATAAACGGCCCTTGCCAGCGGTCTCATAGTTTATACACCAGGGAGCCAGATTATGGCCCTGTAAAATGGAGCACCCCTCCTATAATCCCTTAATTAATTAAATGACAAATTTTGGTCTTCTCTAGTTCAGAAATATGGCTTCCGCATCGAGCGTTCCGTGAATTTATTGACATAGGGAACTGCACTGATTGTAATTCAGCAGATTGGAGTAGTGTGTTATATACTGTAGCAGAAAGAGGGAAAATCTAGCAAAGGTTTGAAATTCCTTTACGGTTTAAATCTAAATTTTTTCTAATTAAAAGTTTCAGTTGAGGCTCAATAGATCATATGCCACCTGTCTAACGGGTCTCCCCAAAGTAGCCTGTGTTTACAGCTTTGATAGATGGCATTCTTGGAACACCTGTTTTTAGGCTTGGTATTTTTGAAGCACTTTTTTTTTTTTTTTTGTTCCAGCGTATTTAACATAACTTTTCCCCCCTCTTCCCCCTCCTCAGCTCCGCTCTGCTGTATGAAATATGGGAGACGACAGACCGTTTGTGTGCAATGCCCCGGGCTGTGGACAGGTACGTTTACAATATACTTTATTGTGAATGTCTCGTTGTGAATCAAAGTGGCTGTTTTATCACTAAGGCAAAGAGTTTAAAGCCGGTATTTTACGTGATCACTGGAGGTAATCAGATCAGAGGATTTGCAGTGTGTAAATCCAAGTTATGAGGAAGTGTAGGCACTCTACCGTAATGAAATCTGCCTTGCTCTCTTCCATATTGTTATTCCACTGGTGTTTGTTTCCCAACAGACAGTGTTGAAGAATACATGTTGCTCTCTCTTCCTTTCTAAAGCTATCCATCTAAATATAAAGCAAGTTTAGAAATATCTTATCTTCAACTTGCCTGGATATAAAAGTCTACTTAACATATCTGGAGAAGCAGCTGAGAATGTACCCACTTATTCTGAACCCCAATTTGCCAGACTCTATTTAAGATATTTTAAACAGGAAAAAAAAAACAGTCTTTTTGACTGTTGATCCAGAAAATCATTGTTAGCAGCTCAGGCAGATATCTATCTTTGAAAGACAAATCCAATACAGAACCCAAGATCTCTCACAGCATCATATAAACATTTTCCCAGTCTGAAACTATGAAATGCATTGTTCTGTGTGTCAGCTGCCATATAATTGTATCACATTTATTTGTGTACACTATGTGTCATATGTATTTCATCATATGCTTTTTAAATAAAGTAATTTTGTTGAAATCGCCTTATGTTTTTCATTTTTCACCTTCTTAACTCTTCCTAGACCCTTCCCTATTGCCATGTTCCAAAAAGGATGAAGAAAGGAATACAAAGGAAGTTTTATCTGCCTTCATTAATTCATTTTATTTATTTATTTATTTCAATATTATTTTTGTGAAGACAGGGTCTCACTATTTGCCCAGGCTGGTCTCAAACTTCTGGTCTCAAGCAATCCTCTTGCCTCAGCCTCCCAAAGTCCTAGAACTATAGTCACCTCAACCAGCCCATTAATTCATTTTACAGAACCCAAAGGATTGAGTTTCAGTTCAGTTAGGAATATGTCATGTGACTGTCTAGTGACACTGCTGGTATGTGAGCTTGCAGACTAATTCTATTAAACATTGTAAATACTTAGACAAAAAAGAGCTGAATTTCAGAGATTCCTAAGAATTTGAGAGGTAGATTAGATGGGAGTGGTGATAAGGAATGGATAGAAGGAAGATTCCAAATTCCAGTAAAAGCTGAAGATTTCAGAAAATACCAATAAAGTCCTTGTATTCTGTAGTATTCAGCATCCTAGGGTGTATTTCCCTACTTGTCAAAGTTTCCAACTTTATTATTGGCTGCATGTTTCCCCACATGGCTTATATTTTATTTCTTTTACAATAGAAGCGATTTGGGAAAGTAGGATAAATTTGTTTCACATTCCAGACAGCTTTATTAAAGTCCATATCTAAAGTTTGTGTGTGAATGCAATTACACTGTTTACTGTGACTCCCATAACTGAACCCTGCTACCCTTTCTACTTCTTCACCTTTTCTTGAAAAATGTGCATTAGGGGAGAAAAGGTTTATTTCGCTCATACTTACCATTATTTTTCTTCACTTATTATTTAAAGTACTTAACTCCTGTACCACTCTTATATGTTGTATGCTTAAAACCATACAAGGACTTCTCAAAGAAATAAAAATGGATGATAGCAATAAGGAATACACAAGGAAAACCTCTCTTAAACTCTCTAAGGAAGAAAAATACAAGTAGCATCTCATTAGACTGTCTCATCAGAAAAGAGTAGTATTCACTGAAACTGTGAGATTTCACAGATTTGTGAAATTTGTGTTTGTTTCTTTTTGTTTTACCTTTTTAATGGTTGGGCAGGGGACTCGAGGTAGGAAGACAGTAGGAATTTTTTACTTTGGATCCTTCCTGTATGATTGAGTTATGTTTACCATAAGCTGTTTCTTTCCCCTATTTCTTCCTTCCATTTTTGAATTGTTTGTTGTTACTTTGGCTATTAGGATTCTTTATAATCTCTGATTTAGGTTCTAAAAAAATTTTTCCCTCAGTGGGAAATTGCATGTGGAGCATTGCTACCTTCTTTGGAATTCAAGTTATTTGTGTCAAAGTAAAAGGATAGAAAGCTATAATTTAAGACTTTGAAAGAAGCTTCATCCCTTCACCTCCTTTGCATGTCAGAACTTATGGTCAGGTGGGATTATACTTCTTTTTTTTTTTTTTTTTTTTGAGACAGAGCCTCAAGCTGTCCCCCTGGGTAGAGTCCCGTGGCATCACAGCTCACAGCAACCTCCAACTCCTGGGCTCAAGCGAGTTTCCTCCCTTAGCCTCTCAAGTAGCTGGGACCACAGGTGCTCGCCACAACACCCAGCTATTTTTTGGTTGCAGCCATCATTGTTGTTTGGTGGGCCCAGGCTGGATTCGAGCCCACCACCTTAGGTGTATGTGGCTAGAACCTTAGCCACTTGAGCCACAGGTGCCAAGCCGGATTATACTTCTTAAGTTATATTTAGTATCCTTCCAAGTTTCTCCCAATATCTATAACAACTTGAGTGGATCTGTGTTACATGTTACTTTATGTTACATGAAATAGTGAATATCTGGCAAAGAAGATAAATTTGGTAAAGTGAACTGCCCTTGGCCTGTCATCTAATTTCCTTGTATCTCTTGAGAATAGTTTCATTCTGGAGCCACCTTGAGGCCTTCAAGCTTTTGTCATTAATTCAGCTTCTTTAATCCATAAATGGTAGAATAACCAAAAGACAGTGTTAAAAAAAAAAACCAAGAGGGGTAATAAAGACATGATAATTTTTGCAGGACATAGTTTAGAACCTACTACCATAGAAGTCTCAAAAATTAGTAGCTTCTACCAGGTAGAGGAAGAAGGAATGAAAGCAATTATAATTTAGGAGACTGATTTTTAAAAGCAAACAAACAAACAAACTGTAGGAATCTTGCATTATTTCATTATCTGTTCCCAGCCCAGACTTTACCCCTTACATCCCTAAACTCAGATATCATCCTATGCCCTAATAGTAAGGGAAGGTGAAAGGAAAATTCACCTAAAATAGACTAGTGGATTATACTCTCTACCATATAATCAAAACCACCAGGCTTTCAATGGATACGTAAACATGTTTTGGTTGCTAGGTCTTTAATGGCTGTTATTTTTGGATTCTGTTCATGATCCACTTCCCAACAGTAAGTCTGATGTGACACAGCTGAGTTCTAAATATGCTGCATGTACTTTTTTTAATCAACAACAAGGAAAAAAGGGCTGCTAAAGGTTGTGCTGTCTGCGTTCTTATCTGAAAAGACAGGTGATAGAGTTTTTTAGCCCTCTTCGTCCTGTACTCATGTGGATACTCTTCGTTTCTCTTGAGGCCTCATCAACCCCATGAAGAGGAACTCAGGGAGAGCAATATTCTTGCTAATACCTCTATGGAATGTGGTATCAGGAGTAGTTAATAGAGTTGCCTCCTGAGAATGGAGTTAGTGTTGTTAAGGCAACAGTGCCCCCAGATACCCACCCCATTAGCAGAGGACTGGTTGAATTGGAGTTGTTTGAGTTTTGAAATGTTTATAAGATACCATCTATTTAAAAATATTATGACCAGCTCCGCGCCTGTGGCTCAAGTGGCTAAGGCGCCAGCCGCATACACCTAAGGTGGCGGGTTCGAATCCAGCCCAGGCCCGCCAAAAACAGCGATGACAGCTGCAACCAAAAAATAGCCAGGCATTGTGGCGGGTGCCCGTTCTCCCAGATACTTGGGAGGCTGAGGCAAGAGACTCGCTTGAGCCCAGGAGTTGGAGGTTGCTGTGAGCTGGGATACCACAGCACTCTACCCAGGGGGATAGCTTGAGACTCTGTCTCAAAATATATATATATATATATTATGACCATGAAATGGGTTTGCCTCTGTGTTATTTGTTAAAATTATAGAAATATAGTTTGGTGCTGAATCCAGGAAGTCTTGTAAATTTTTAATATTTGGGGGGACATTTAATTGCATGTACATGATAAAGTTGTTCCATATTATGTGGAAGCAGGAATAAATACTATGTCAGTAATCTTGGATATGAGGTTTTATTTCGTGTAGGTAACTTACCTCTTGGATGCTTTTTTGCCCAATTTTTATTACCAGGAATCAGCAAATTCTATGTTCTTATTCCTTTCTCTCAGGCATGTAACACTGGTTTGCAGTGCAAGTTGTGCTGATTTAGTCATTCTTCTTGTTTACCATAATTAAGTCTTTGAGCAGGAGCCAATTATATCAGCTTAAAATATCTATTTCCTTAGGAATAAGAATACATTTCCTCTAAGGAGGAACTACTCATGGACAGTTAGTATCACCCCATCTTTAGCCATCAAGGAAGGTTTCTATCATACTACCCTGTCCTTTTAAGGAAGAATCCTTTGATTATTTTTCTGTCCTAAGAGGCTGTTGCTTTTTTCCCTGAAGATATCTAGTATCAGGTCTTCTTTTCTTCTCCCAGAGGACATTTAGGTACAGGGTGAAATTCTCTTTGTATCTTTTTTTTTTTTTTAAAGCTGGACAGCCTTCTTGCAGAGATAATCTTCGTATCCTTTTAACTGAAACATAAAACACATAACTAACTCATAGACCTTCCAGGCCTGCTTTTCCTTTGTAAGGCTAAGAATAGCAATGGAGCCCTAGTTATGATGGGATTGAGGGCAGCTTCTTGTACCTCCTTATCTTGTCATATAATAGGAATAATGTTTATGGTGCTGTAGTCCTGGCGTCACTTGGCATTTAACCAACCTCCAAAGCTGTTTATTGCTTCGTATCCTCTGCCTCCATGAACATTATCCCTTAAATCTCTATTTCTCTGTAATATATGAGGCAACAAATGGCTCCTATGATTGGTTAAATGCTGGCATGCTGCAAAGGTATATGTTTTATTGCCTATATAACACAAATCTATAGAGATTATTCCTGTTATCCCAGCCCTCCCATTAAATGGGCCATACTGGTATTATGGGACTCTGTATCTTTAATTCTATCCCTTTGGC